AGCAGTAATTGAACCAAATGGAAAAAAAAACAAAGTTACAATTTTAAAGGAAAACAAGACTGAGTCTAAAAAAAACCAAGTCTAACAAGCTTTACCTAAACCACCACCAGGGGATGAATCTAAGGAGATGTAACAACCTGCACAGGAGAGTTCCTAACAAGCATTCCTGCACCGCAGTGACCCAGAGAAAAAGATGAAAGGCTACCCAACTTTGAAATTAAATTTAAGTGACTGAATAAAAAGGGGTAATTATTTTTTTTTAAACATACTTGTTTTGTCATTTAAATTTCAGGACAAATCTGGCAGTTTCCAGCTGCAGGGTGACAAATAATCCTCACACATACAATACTTTAGGCCCACACACTGTCCAGGAGCTCACCCTGGATTTTCCTTAGGAAAAAGGTTCCAGCAAGTTTTCCCTCCCCCTATATTCTAGTAATCATGGAAAATCATGGAAAGAAAGAATAAATGAGGATTTCTAGTAACAAAATAGGAAAAGCAAACAGACACAAACTCTCATGGAGATGGAGAAGAAACATTAAAGGGCAGCTGGGATGGAAAGGGAAGCCAAGAGGGTGAAAAGTCTGTGTACCTGAGCTTTTACACCCTACTTGTTTTGGCAGTGCCTGCATTAGTGCAGTGCCAAAAATCACAGTGTGGCAGGACGTGTTACCTACCCCAGTGAAAGGAGAACAGTGGGACTGAACCGAGAAAACAAAACCTCCCGGGGGGGAAGCAGCAAACAAAAAACCCTCCAGAGCAGCCTGGCCCAGGCCAGTCATGTCCTTCACAGTCCTCCTGCTCAGCCCAAAACACTTGGGCTGACATAGAAAATAAAAGTTATATAAAAACAAAGCATTTTGGGATATCTGGGGTTACTCTGAACTAACTGAATTTATTACATATTTTGGTAACTCACTGTAACACACACAAAAAAGTCATTAACTCAGCGTGTGGATTTCCACCATCATCACTGTTCACCGGCCTCAAACAGCTTCCTGGGGCTGGCTCCCCCCTTTTGTGTCCCAGCCTCACCTCCAAATGCCAATACATATGGAACTTATTCAACACAAGTCAGAATGCAAGAAACGGATGCCAGGCAAATATATTTAGCTTTTGTAGGAAATATCAGTCTGTGGCCAGAACTGCTCTTCGATACCTCACAAAATTATGCTATTTAAGGAAAAGAAAATGTATTCAACTGATAGTGATCTGAAAAGCAACAGTTTTAAGCATTTCAGAAGTGCAATTCCCCCTTAAAAAAAGAATAATCACAGAGTCTCTATTTCAGCAGACACAATCCCATGTCTGCAGTTGTTCTTCTAAAAACTGAGTTTCAAATTCTACACTGAACAACCAGTGAGTCCGGTGAGAGCAATCAATGAATCTTCAACCACGCAGGAAAAAAAAGCCGGAAAACCTCCTCAGACTTCCACAGGTGTGCTCAGAAGATTGTAATCTGGCTTAGGTGAGACACAGCTAGCTCCCTGTGGTTTGATGAGTCTGTGAAAAGTTGATGAGAAACCCCACATCTGAGCTGTTGCAGGCTGCTTTTCATAATTACACGATTTGCACAACAGTGCCGAAGGTGTGGCCCAGCTTACAAATTCAACAGATTCAAGTCTGTGACTCTTTGCAGTCCTGCCAATGCCTCCAGCTCCTCTGCTTCCAACTCCAGCAGAAGTTTCAGAAATTAAAGTGCTTGGAAAGACTGCACTCTAATTGGAATTAGCAGACATCTGCACGCAGCATTTCATGTGACAGCACTGACTAAGAGCTGGTTTCGGTTTCTGCACTTTATATATTTTCTACTTTATATATTCATCTCCTCCTAAATGCCCAATGACAAAAACAACATCCACAGCCTGTGGATGTGCAGGAAAATCGTGGTGTGCTCTCTTGTGATAGCCCTGCAGCTCCTCAGAGCAAAGCTGCTCACTGCGCAGAGCAGGCCTGACTGCATTCAGTACTCGGGGCAAAGCAAAACCATCCTCTAAACCGGGGTGGCTTCAACTCTCAGACCTCCAACCCATGTGACAGGAACACAACAGAAGTTCTAGAGACACTCAAAAATGAACACACAGCATTACTTGCTCACTCAGAGCAAACGCATTCACACACCCCTGTTGCCAGTGCTTCCCCTCAGGGCTTTTTTTTGGAGTGTTTTTTCACCACGAGGCCTCCAAACCCAACTCTGGCAGGTGGCTCCCAAGGGGAACCGATTTAGGCCAAAAGAGCCATTGAGGCTGATGCACGTGCTCAGTAACTTGAGTAAAGCTGGCTCCAAACACCAGCACCAAATCCAACCCCCCTCCATCGCACAATGACACAACATTCGACGTCGTGAATCAAGTAACAATATTCCAAAGTGCCTCCGCACTGTGAAATTATTGCTGCAATCAGGAGTTTTCCGCAGAGAGACGAGGCAAAGGTACTTTAACCAACGTGCACCGCTCAGCATGGCAACTCCAGCTCCTCAAATCTCAGACACCAGATAATGATAAAAATAGCCACTGGCACTCCGAGCTAAGAACTCGCTCTCCAACCTACCCTGCAGTGTTTTGCTATCACTGGCACGTCAGGTGGCTGCCAGAAAGCTTCCTGCATCACCAGCCTTTTCTGGAAAGGTCAGCAGCGACCAGGAACAGGACTGACAACAAGCTCTGAGGTAGTTTAAGACAAGGTACTTGATGAGAGACGCCTTGTAATTACAGACCGCAGAAAATCACCTCCCCAGTGTTTTTTCTCCAACTGCCACACCGCTGAGAACAAAAAGAACTAAAACCACAGAACTTCAGAAATGCTATCAGGAGTAATAGGAAATGCATTAAATTTTCACAAGATATTAATTTTCATACGGTGTTCTCTCTGTTCAATTTTATATTACCAGCAAAACCAGCGAGTAATACATGGCATTTACAGTGACTTGACACAAGCCAGTATTACATACCTTTCAAAAAAATTAATGTCACTAAAATGAATACAAACAAGAAAAAACACAATATTCTACATGGTACTAGGGAGTTAATGCAACAATAATCACGTTACTAGCTGGGAATGAGAAGTGAGGCACTGCATTTTTACTACACCGGTAGAAACGCAACATTTATTTCGAAAAAGAACGATTATCATTTGCTTTAAATTAAAAAGAGCCTGCTGTCTGTTCACTGGAATGTTTTAAGTTCAATGCACTTTTTCTCTAGCCACTTGTTAAGATTTCCACAGTTATCTATGTGAGTACTGTGTGACTTATCTTAATTTTCTTTAAAAGCATTACAAACAAGAAACTCCCTCAGATACAGCAGTGAGTTCCCTTGTTCCTGCCTCACAGCTGTAAAATAAATCAGTTGATTGCCCAGCACCTGGCTCTCCCTGTAAGTGCTGGTTGGGGAGAAACACCTCTGAACAACAAAGAAAAACTTGTTCTAACTGCTGAACTTCTTTGTTGAGAAGCAGAAGCAGCACGAAAACCAGGGGCCTGCAGCTGTAAAATTGGTGGTTTTTTTTAAGCTGGGAAGTCATATTAATACCTCCCTATATATTTTTAGTTTTGGCACTTTTTATCTTTTTTGAAGTTCTCTGAAGGGTGGTTCCCTACCGCCATATGCTTCTGGTTGACAACTTTGCTCACCCTTGATATTCCGATGATAACAGATGGACCCACAGACCTAAACTTCTTGTAAATAATTTTTTTCTCAGTAAAGGAACATCGGGGACAAGTTTCCCTGCGCTTCTCCCCTTCCTTCTAATCGTTTCTCTGCACGACTGCGCTGAGGGGTGAACACCCTCCAAATCAAAAAGCATTTCGGAAAAAAAAAGTTAAGTGGTTTGGCCAAAGGAAGCCGCGACGCTACCACACCTTGGCTCCCGGAAACTGCAATCAGGGAGCGAGTTCAGCAGGCAGAGCCTTCCCACACGGAGGCACCGGCGCTGCCAGACAAAGGACAACCGTCTTTCCTTCAAAAACAAGGGACACCTCATATTATCCAGCCGTCCAGGGCTCCCCGATCGGTCATTCCCAAGGGGGTGGGAGGGTTTCTCTCCAGGGCCCCCCGGCTGCCCCTCTAAGCGGGGCCTACTTCCCACCTTAAACCGGGCTGGCGTCTGCTTTCATACCGAGCCTGACTAAAACTCCAGCAAACAAAAAACACGCACCAAAATCCACGGCACGCCTCGGCGGTTACCTGTGTGGAAGTGTGCGGTGACCCATCAGAAAGCTAAACCTGGAGCACCTCGAGCAGGGCACCTTTAAAGGGAAAGCCCCCTGAACAAACAAGATCGTGCGAGGGGCAGAACCGAAGGCAGGGTATATTGCACAGGCGGTGATTTGCGTTATTAAACCAAAGAGCAAAGTACTAAAAAAAGACGGCCTCTCCGCCCGCACCGACCCACGGAGCCACCGGACCACCCTCACCGCGGATCGAAGGGGGGTCCCGAGCGACGCCTCCAGCCGCAGCACTCCAATAAACTACACTCTCCAAAGTCCTCGCACAGATGTATATTCAAAAAAAAACCAAAAACAAACAAACAAAAAAAACCCACAAAAAAAACCCCACACAAAACAAAAGGAGGAGAGTAATCTCTGGTAGATTTCCAGCACCCCTCGGACCCCGCAGCCGCCCCCGGTCCCGCAGCGCCGGTCCGGGCAGAGCCCGCTCGCGGCCCCTCAGCGGACAAAAGGAGCGCCGAGCGGCCCCGGGCCGGGGGGCACCGGCCCCGGGACAAAGTCCGGGCCCGCCCCGGCCGGCCGGGGCCGCGGGGGCAGCAGCGGGCTGTGAGGCAGCCCCTGCCCCGCACACCCCACGGGCGGCGGGACGCGCAGCCCCCCCGGAGGGGTCCCGCGGGGCGGCCCCGCCGGAGCGGGCCGGGGCTGCCGCCCTGCCCCGCGCCCCCGGGCCCTCCCCCGGCCGCGGGGGCCCTCCCGCCGCCGGGCACCGAGGACAAAGGAGCGGCCGGGCCACCGCGGGCCGGGCGGGCCGCGCAGCGCAGGCCGCACTCACCGCTGCAGCACCAGGAGGAGGGCGAGCCCTGCGGGAACTTGGCCGAGTCGGGCGCGATGCAGACGCTGGAGCCGAGGTGCGGGCACTCCATGGCGGGGTGCGGGGCGCGGAGCGGGGCGGGCGGGCGGCTCCTCGCGGCGCTACAGCGGCGGCGCCCCGCGCACAACAGCCATCTTAGGGCCGGCCTCCCGCTCCGCTCCGCGCGCCGCGCCGGGCTTTGCGGGCACCCGCCTGTCCTGCCCTGCCCTGCCCGGCCCGGCCCGGCCCGTCCGCTCCGCGCTCCGCCCGCCGCCCCTTACCGGCAGCCGTGACGGGAGCATCGGGCTCGGGAGCGGCCGCGGGGAAGCGTGGGGTGGGTTGCGTGGGAAGGGACCTCGCAGAGCATCCCCTTCCACACCCTGCCGTGGGCAGGAACACCTTCCACTAGCCCGGGTTGCTCCAAGCCCCGTCCAACCTGGCCTTGGACACTTCCAGGGATGGGGCAGCCGCAGCTTCTCTGGGCAACCTGTGCCAGGGCCTCCCCACCCTTTCAGGGAGGAATTTTTTCCTAATGTCTAATCTAAAACTACTCTCTGAGACGATTCCCCCTTGTCCTGTTACTACATGCTCTGCTGAATGGTCTCTCTCCATCTTTCCTGTGAAAGTTCCCCTCAGGCACTGCAAGGCCACAATTAAGTCACCCCAAAACTTCTCCAGGCTGCACGACCCCAGCTTTCCCCAGCAGAGCTGCTCCGTCCCTCTGATCATCTTTCTGTGCTCACCCCAACATCTCCACGCCCTCCCTGTGCTGTTCCCCAGGGCTGGAGGCAGCTCTGCAGGGGAGTCTCACCTGGGGGGCAGAGGGACAGAATCCCCCTGCCCTGCTGCCCTCAGCGCTCTGGATGAGCCCAGGACATGCCCGTGGCTCATACCCACCCGTGTCCTATCCCGCAGGATGCAGAGCCTAAGGGCGTGTGCCTTCGGAAGCCCTGTGCTTCGAGGTGTCTCTGACAATTATTTGCAAATATTGTCACCTCACACTTGTTTTTCTTTTTTTTTTTTAAAGAGTTACGTGGCCTCAAATTTGGCTGGTTACTGAATTTCCCACTCTATGACTGGTACCTGTAAGCGGTAATAAAACCACAGCAACTGGCTCAGCAATTTGCCTATGACAAGATCGTACCAATGTGCAGTTCCTTTTCAGACAGAGCAAAAAAAGTCCACCAGCATGATACCTGTAAAAGTGGGGATTTTTTTTAATCTAAGGCACTGTGACTCCTCCCGCATATTAGGAGTGTTAGACCTTTTCTCTTACCGTAACTAATGCGAGAAATACAATTTTGCCATTGTTTTTGCCTGTTGTGTGACCTTTTGCGTAGCCACGGAAAGCATCTGTCTCAGTGTATTTCACACAGCACTGCACTATTTCACAGGAGAGTATTTTAGAAACTGGCAGTTCTGTATGGATTTTCAGATGAGATACTTTAAATATTCATATCAAAGGTGGTCGCAAATCTCCTCGGTAGAACAACGTTCCTTCCCCTTTTTGTTCTTTTTCACTGTGTTTACACAAGGGAGAAGAATTCAAAGCGTGAAAAATCCAATTCTCCACAGCATCAGAAACTACTCTGACTACACTGCATGGAGATAGTTTGTATTTCTAGCTGTGCACTTAGAAGCAGAATTGGGCAATAAATACCGAACTGTGAATATAATGGCTGTAAGTGTTACCTTGACACAAAACCTCGAAGCTTCCTCACATATCCCCCATCCTTCAAAGTTGTCATTTTTAATCAGTCAGGTTAGTAACATTCCCAACATATATTTTACGGGTTGTACAGAAGGTATGTAATTATATAGTTTTCTAACAGATATTGTATAAATAAAGCAAAAATTACTGGGCTTTTAATGTTTAAATTTGTTTCACACAGCACAACTTTGATACACATCTAAAAATTACTTGCACAAATTTAAGGAGCAAAAAGGTGGTCATGTTTTACATTAGCCAAGGGGTCCTTTTGCTTGCTCTCCATCCTCTGCCACAATGTATAATGAAGACAGACATTAAATTAAAGCAGTGGTTTCACTGCAGTCGCTTTCTGTCTTCTCTGACCAATGCATATATTTAATGCTCTTGTTGTGCCCCACCCATCCTTACACACAAACAATGAGTAAGAAGCCTCAGTTGGATCTGCTCTGCTCATCTTCCCCTTGTGCCCGTGTCACTTGGCCTTCTCTAACCAGTATTCTGCAACCAGAGTTTAACCAAAACAGTCAGTTCTCGCCTCTGCGTGGATTATGTTGGCAATATATTTTGTATATTTAGTCTTTCAGAAGTAAGGAAACTGGTTCACAAGGACTGAATGTGGTAAAATCAACATGTTTATGTACTTCTGGCTGTCTAGTTTCATTTTAGCACTGCCATTCTTGACTTCAGAGTAGACACAATATACCTGGAGAGGAGAACCAATTCCTTGCCTGAGCAAACAGGACGAGGGTCTGGCTCAGAAAAACAGCATGGCCTTGCACAGTCACAGTGGGACTATGAAGAAAGACATCCTCAAAAATTACTAGAAATAAAAGGCCAATGTCCTGCTTTCCCTTAAGAGTTCCTCCTTTTAGTCCAGAAGGCTGCAAACTCAAAGAAAAAAAGTGCATGACTTTGGTCTAATTTTAGAAGCCTTTGACTCTGGTCTAGTGCCTTTATTTTAAGATGTAACTTTAACTTGCAATATTAGGCACCAAAAAATAATAAAAAAGTCTCTTGTCCCCCGCTGTGGAGTTATTAAAATCCCCATGACAAAAGAACAGAAAGTGCTTGGAATGACGAGGAGGTTGGGAGGGACTGCATAACTCTGCTCAGCACAGCATTTCCTGGGGTGACAGACACCAGATATGACTTCTCTAGGCAGCATTTAGCTGTGAAAACCCACGAAATAAAAAGGTGTCAGCTTACCAAGTCAGGCCCTTCATCCTCCATCCCTGGTGTTTCATGTTCAGGAACCAAAACCATCCACGCTGTTCCCACCTGGCTCCTTTGCAAGATAATAACGGAGTTTTCTGCCTTCTTTCATTTGTGGCTTGACAGCCATTCAGTGAAACTCTTTGAAAAGTGTAATTTTGCACAAGGATTTGCATATTTCTTTGTTTCAGTTGCCATGCCCACAGCAAATGTGGTGGCCTTTAAATGTTTTTTTTTATGTCTGCTTGCCAAGATAAATACTTAAGTAAGGATGATTTGACCTGTTGGGAAGTCACAGTGCACACCAAGATAAATCCTAAAGGCAATCAGTGCAGAACAGGAGCTTGTGATTTAGGATTATAAATCAGAAATTTCTATTTAATAGAGCACATATCTCTATTATATCTCTACTACAAGAGAGATATTCCACACAGCCTCCTCTTTTGGATGTAGCCATATAGGCTCCATCTGAGAGCGTCTGAGCTTAGAATTTGGTCCTGAATTGGTATCTTGCATATATTCTAAGAATTTACAGTGGGGAAGTTTGCCTGGAGAGTTATTCTGTTCTGCTGTATTCCTCAGAAATCTGTGGTCTTAAATATTTGAAAATACTGATTAGCCTGCCATGTGTATGAATTATGATACGGTCTAATGATGCACATTTTCCCTGTGATCCTGGCTTCCTTCATCGTCACTGGATGAACATCACTCATGGATCAAGTGAAGCAGATTGTTGCCTTAGGTGACTTCTGCATTTGCTGCAGAGACTGCAGAGCGTGGAGTGAAGGAGGGTGGCCCTGGAGCAGTGGAATGAATGCTGACCTGAAGAACTAGGATCGAATTCAGTCTTTGCCAGCCAGTCCTTGCATGCCGCCTGGACTTTAACCCCCTTTCTGTACAAAGTGGACCTGTTTGCTTTTGTTGGAGGACGAACGTCCTTCTCGAGTGCAGCTCAGAAAAAAGGCTGGCTCTGTGCAGAGCACACACCTTGGGCCTTCCTTGTGGCTAAAACATCCCTCCTCCATTTCTACACTGAGTGCATAAAGACAGAAAGAACATCGTCTCCCATGGCTTGTTTCTTCTTTTCTAAGTGGTAAATTCAGGGTGTGTGGAATGAGAGGGGCGGGTGCCCTGAGCGCTCACCTGAAAAGGATATCAACAAGCCTTTTGCCCTGAGCACTGTCGTGGTTTAACCCCAACTGGCAGCTGAGCACCACGCAGCCTCTCACAGCAAGCACTGTGAGCACACTCCCTGCCAGTCCAGACCTTGCAGCAACTTGATAGATTGGGCTTTCACCTCTAATTTCCCAAAGGTGTAGAAGTGAAACGTTCAGATATGATGGTGACAGCACTGAGGACCACAGAAACCCACCACAGAGGAGTGAGTCCTTTACTGGGTGCAGACGCAACTCTGAGGCAGATGCTGGCATGGAAAATACCAACAGAAAGCAGCAGAAGGGAGGGAAATTCTAATGCAGGGTCTCAGCTTGATAAGAGGAGGTTGTTCAAGCAGCTCTATGGGTTCTGGGCCATGTGCAGTGGACAGCAGCTTAAGCTGCAGGCAGCTGTGAGTGCAGCACATCAAACAGCACTGCACATTTCCGCTGGCAGGTTTTCTCCTGAACAAATCTACTTCCATTTCCTGTGTCTGACCTCCGAAAATAAAGGTCACACACATTTTCAGGGGTTGGTGGTATGAGCACAAGTGTTCCCTCCCTTTACGAGGTTCAAGGTGCTTCTCTGAAGGACAAGATGCCCCAGACAAAGGACAAGAATTAAAAAACCCGGAGCAAGCACCTGAGCCAGAATTCGGCACTTGGGAATAAAGCGTGTGGACAGGCAGGACTCCCCTCCCAGCAGTCCACGACACGTCCCTGGGGGGGCAGTGTGACACAAGGCATCGAGCAGAGCTTCCAGGAGTGCCGCGGGACAGGAGCTGGGACCGCTCCCCCTGCCCTGGGAGAAAGTTCCCGGACATTTCTGCAGCTCCAGTGACAGGGAGGGATCCCCCATTCCTTCAGGAGTCACTCCCTGGGGGAAATAAAGCTGACCAGAGCAGCACAATGGTATGGGGCTGGCACAGACTCCATCAGAACAGAAGACTGGGTTTACTTTTTAAAGTATGATTCAAATATATGCCTGAGATCAACAAGCTGTTCCCTAAGACACAGGGAAAAGGAGGAAACTGGCCCAAGAAGCTGCATGCTGTGGCTCGGATCCCCGTGGGCTGGACTGATATGAACACACACACACTCATATACATTTTTCCCCTCTGGCTGTGTGTATATACATGTTTCTCTGGAAGGGTGTTCCCTCACACAGTCAGAACTATGGCTCAGAGTCCCCAGGTGATGCACACTGGAGATGTTCTGTCAACTGGAGCTCACACTGGCTGGGCAGCTGCCTCTAGGTGTGGGTTTCAAATGAAAATCAACAGGTTGTTTCACTCTCCTTTAGGCCCAGGAGTCAGAGAGGGCCAAAGGCAGAGTTATTGCTGTGCCACTGCCAGAAAAGAACATGTCCTTTCCCACAGTTTCACCCAGATAGATCAAGCATTTCCTGGGAGATTTGATTTTCCCACTGCTGAACGTGCCTGCAAAATCCAGTTCTTAGAGTGGACGTTTTGGAAAGGGTACTCGAGGTGCTGCAGCTCCCTGGATTCTCCTCTGCAGGAACCAAACAGTACCTGAGCACTGGAAGCTCTCCAAAAGAATCTTGCCACATGCAACAGTGTTAAGAATGCTAAGCTGGGAGTGCAAAAAGTGGGAAATCTGCAGCCTGATATCCCAGATAAGTGGGTTGAAATCCTGACAACATGGCCCTAGTTCACTGTATTCTGAGAATTGTAGCTGCGGAAAGAGCAGGAGGAGGAGAGTAGAGCAACAGATAAGCAAAGAGAGCGAGAGTCCTTTTACCAGGATTCCCATTTTCAACAAAAATAACAAATACTCATATGACTTCCAATGCTTTGATTTCTAAGAGCCTATACTAATTTTAGGTCCCTTTTCCAAGGCTTCCAGGAGCATTTTGTTGAGCAAAGGCGACGCTTTAGCTCTGCCCCAAACTTTGCCTTTTCTCCCCTGTCCCAGCTTGGACACAACGGGAAGCGTAAATGAAGGTGAACGTGACTAATCTGGGTGATGAGGATTTTTTGGAACAAACCAACAGAGACGCGGAAAATAAACGGTACAAATAAACTGGATGGTCTTTAAATCCTCCACATTGTTTTCAGAAGGTATTATTTGTACAGACAAAGGGTTATTTTTAATTCATGCTTTAAACAAATGCCTGGAAGTTCTCATATGTCTGGCAGCTTTCAACACCAGCTTCATCAATTGTTAACTCCAGAGTCTGCTCAATAATGCAAGTGCATCAGGGTGACATCCAGCAGTACTAATTCACATCACCGGCAGTGAGCTTGGACTGGATTTGTTATGCAAACTTTATCTTATATTATTTCCAAATGCACTCTTGAACATAATGATTCTGTGCTTGTACCTACTTTGAAAATCAGCAGACGTCATTTCACCCCATCTGAATCAGAGTAGAACGTTTTATAACCAACAACACAGATTTCTCTTCATCACAACTGAACAAGGCTTACTCACTAATTTTTGGCAAACAAGGGAGCTACAGGCATACTTTAAAAAATAATAACACTGTGTCAGAGCACAGAAAAGAACTTCCAAGCATCCTGTTGAAAGAAAACCCATTTGCCTGGAAAACATGATAGTTGGGACCAGCCCATCTGCCCATCCCTTTGACCGAGGAAGGGAAAACTGTTCAGAAGCACCTGAGTAACTCCAGAACATAAAACTCACTAATGCTATTTCTTGTGTCCCAGGGGGCCAAACTACAGCTGTTTCTGGGCCACCAGCACCCAGTGCTTAAATGACAGCTGGCTCTTCAACTTCACCCCTAGGATTAGCTTGTTAACAAATCTAAGGACAATGGTCACACAAATTATAAGTATTACTCTGATGACAATCTGGGAGGATTGGGATGATAGTGAGGTGGTACAGAATTATACTACTTCAGACAAAATTCAGGAATCAGAATGTGGAATCTGCTTGCCAGTGAAAAGCACGTGTAAAGAAACTGTTGCAAATGAAGTATAATAATTTTCAAAGTCCATTCCAAATGCTCAAAAATGGTATGATGGGAACATCCCAGGGTGAACTGCGTGAACTAATACGACTTTTTTCACCTCTGTTAGTATATCTATATTTATATTATATATCTGTATATATATCTCCTATACCTGTAGAATATTACTACAGTAAAAGTATCGTATGTGTCTGTGAACTGTGACTGTACACAAATGATGTCACTTTTCCCTCTACCTTAAACAACACTGTTGGTAGCCAAAACACTGTACACAAAGCTCCAGCTTTGACAAGGGTCAGGCATCCCCCCTGTCCCTGCTGCCCCAGGTTCTACTTTACTGCCCACGGAGAAGTGTAAATACTAACAGAAGGTGCCAGTGTTGAGTAGCAATCTGAGGTGGGAAGTAGGAGACCAGTGGTCCAGATCTCCTTTCCTCACTCCCTTCACTGAGCATCTGGGAATTCAAGGACTAAGCCAGGCCCTCTGAGATTTTTCTGCTCTGGCTGGAACTTGAAACTTGAGATGGCAAAATACACTGAGAGAGAGGGAGATGTTCAGCTTTTTCTGAAATAAGAAGCTGCTGGGATGGTCTGTGAGCAGAACTAAACCTTCCAAAGCTGTCCTGCCGAGCACCAAACACCAAATACCCAACTGCTTTACTTATTTTGGCAAAGGGGTAATGTGCCAGTAGCTACTCAGTGCTGAAATTAAAGAGCTTCTATGAACTGCTGACATAGATTGCCCTGAGTTTTGAGGAAGGGAGATGTAGCTGAGTTTTCTGGGATTTTGTCTTCCTTCACAATAAAGATCATCACTCAAATATCTTTTTAATCATTTAAAAATCACTTAAAAATCGTTTTATAGATGGGGAGGGTCAGGAAGTTAGTACACAGAGAGATACAATTTACATTCAAGAGAACTATCTGAAAACCTTCTCTAGAATTTAAAATCTGCAACGCCTATTATTTCTTTCCTTCAGAGCCTTGTGCAATTAGACTCAACTTCACTCTGAATGTTCCATCATGTCCTAAAAAGCCTAAGCATTGTGAGATTTCCCTGCTCCTTCATGTCTGTCTCCCTAACTATGATATATAAAGCAGGTAGAGACTACCAGGCCTCCATTTACAGCATAATGAGATTTTGCTCTTGTAAACCTGACTGAATACCCCAGACCAAGAAACGATTCAACTTGTGTGGTGTGGAGCATAGTTTTAAAAAAGGGCTTTTAATTCAGGACACACAGTTCTCCTTTGTCTCATTTGATGAGACACACTTCACAGCAGGCCAAGGGAAAATGGCAGGCCCAACATCTTTCAGAGACATAACAGCCAGACTTTTGAAGTGCAGGGTAACCAAGACCTGCTTGCCAAACCTAGAAGAATTTGCTTTTGATGGGTAAATGTAACAGCTGTATGAGACCAAAAGGCTGATCTAACTCGCCAGAGCATTGAGGTATTTGTAAACATGGCATGTGATCAGCAATCTTGCTCACAGGTGAGCTCAGGGTGAGCTTTACACCACTGCTGTCAGTATTTCTTATCATATCTCGTTTGCACATGCTACTTCTTATTGTTTGCAAATTGTTCTGTTCTCAGAGAGACCTACAAACATTTCAGAATTTTAGCAGTTTGGGGTTATATTTGCTCAGCTGCCTACAAGTCATCGGGGGTTGTGAAGATGCATCACTAAGGGCTGAGATGAAAAGCGAAATTAAAAACCCAGCTGACTGACCATCATCTGGACAGATTTGTGCAGCTAATGTGGAAAAACTCTGTCGGTGAAGAAGTCATTCCCATTCACCTCTGCAGTAAGAGAGGCTGTTCAGGAATGCTCCCAGTCCCCTGTGCTGGGTTATCCTGGGCCCCTCTGGCCCTGTTTGCTGGGACAATGTGGTTATCACTGTGTATGAAATATTGTGTTGCAGCTCTAGGCACAGTAAACCAGCTGGTGAGAGAACTCCACCAGCTCCACGTTCCAGGGGCTGCCTGGAAAATGCCCTTGTGGGGAAGGTTCAAAGCAGCAGCTGCAGTGCTGGGGCATTGCCTTCCCAAAGGGAGTGTGGGCCAGCACACGTGGGCTCCCTGCATTCCTGCATGACAGTTAATATTTTGAAATATTTTTGGGACATATTATTAAAATATAAGCAGGGTATATTTAATTTAAAACTTTTTCATGCCTTCGTGCAAAGAACTGGGCCCCTTTTCCCTTCCCCCCCCCCACCTCCCTGGCTTTTGCAGTCACTACTAAGGGATTTACATTTCTGGAAAACTCCAACACTGACTTCTTTCACGTTGGCTTTTAAAGCCAACACATTACTGGCAAAGTGTTTACCAGCCAGACAAACCAAGCAAGCTTTTTATGTCTCCAAAGATAATAAAATAGTGCTTGGAGCAGAGCTCCCCTGGAGTTTGTGCACGGAGTCAACATAAGGAGGTGGCTATTTTAATCCTCCTGGAGTTGCCTAAGCATAGGTTCTCCTGTGGATTTAGAACAGTCTCAGCCCAGAACACTAAGCCAGAAATACATTTGGAGCTGGGGCTGGAGCAGAGTTAATATTCATCTCTCTAGTTTTATTTTAAAATACACCTTTAGATCTCTTGATGTGTAGCAGAGTCAGTGAGTCACTCCAGACAGTTTAAAGATATTTTGGAAAAAGCTGTAAAGTGAATTTTTGGGTTTGTTTTTCTTTCTTTCTTTCTTTTTTTTTTTTAATTTTTTCCCCCCCTCCCAGTCACTGGCAGACTTGGCTTTGTTATTTGGTTTTCTTTTGTAATAGGAGGAGAACTAGGGTTGCATAATATCAATGAGCACACAACATCCCTCAGCCATGCAGACACTCCAAGAGAAGCGAAAGGACTTGTGGCTGTGTTGAGGAAGCCAGTGGAGTGGTGACAAGGGTCATCACCTGCAGGGAAGCTCTGTGCTCAGAGCAAAGGGCACAGCTGGAGGGAGGCAACTCAGCACTGAGGCCGCTTTTCCAAACTTCCCCAGCTCGTGCTGCTCTGTGGGCCTGGCTGGCTGCAATGTGGAAGGTGTGCACCATCTACAGGTATTTACAGAGGTGCAGAGACAGAAATGAAGCAGAGGGAAGTCATTCAGACAGTCAGAAACTGATACCCAGCAAGGGGACTCCTGGCAGGCTGTCCAGATGCCTCCCTTCCTGCCTGCCAGCCCAGAACCCAGACAGGGAGAACTGGTGGTGGCTGTGAATGCCTCTGTCCTCCCCAGACCAAGATCTGTCTGGCTACTCCCTCAGCATCTCCCATTTCAGCTCCTGAGCCAACACCAGGACCGTGTGTGGTGAACGAAGCAGGGGCCAGCAGCAGAACCCATCCTGTTATTCTGAGGAGCCTTTCTGGCAGGATCCAGGGGTGCCAAGCAGTGAGGAGAGAGCTGTGTTCCATCTTTAGCAGAAAGCACCACTTTGCTGTACTCTGTTTCATGACCTGTTTGCTTGAGCCTTTTTTTAACCGCACTTTGGGGCTTTCCAGCGTGTGCAAACAGGACAAATATAGTGACTCACAAGTGTATACCTATTATTTAGTTGCTATATAAGGCCCCCCTGAGCACACCATGAATTCACATTTTAGGTTTCTGGAAACTTCTGCTGGAAATTGGTTCTGGTCTGCTGCCACCTCGCAGGGATCCTTTCTCATCCCCCCACAGGAGCATGTTGTTAAATGAGTACCCAGAAACCCTGTTAGTCACAGCAGAGACCACAGGAAAGGTTTTCCAAACAGAGGGTTCCATTGGTGCTTCTCATGTGGTGGCCAAGGTCACCATCCTGGGAGGTGACAAGGACATTTAATGCTGCCTGTTTTGGATATCAGCTCCTCTTGCACACCATTCAAACAGTCACCACTGTGAACAACACTCCCCACTCCCCTCAGTGGAACCCCCTGCACGTGGGGTGACCCCCATGTCCTAAAATGAAACGGAATAAGCCTTGCCCAGAACACAGAAACCATCCCCAGCCCCTACAGCTGCAGCTCAGAGCAGCACATCCACCTCTGTCAGGTCACGTTGTCTATCAGCATTATCCATCAGCCCCAGAAAGGTTCATGTTATATTTGTATATAATCAGTTGTTATTCATTACACATATTCCCTACCTGCAACTCGGTAGGTACTCAACAGACCTTTTTCTCAGAAACTGGGATGAACTGGCAATATATTTGGACTTTTGACTCACATGCACGCCGAGATTAGAAATATTTCTGACTGGTTATAGTTACAGCCACTGTAAATACAGCATTCTGTCTGCTGCTTTTATGGGTGCTGCTCAACCTATTCTAAGCAGCACAGTTTAGTCTGGAGTTTAAACACAAGTTGGGTTTTCCCAACAGCTGGGACCTGAGGCAAAGCTGCTTTACAGTAACACGTTACATTCAGCCCAGAAATTCAAGAGAAATTAATCCTTCTGAAGACATACTCTGAACAACCCAAAATACACATCCTCCCAATGTGAAGGATTTTTTGAAAAGCAGTTCTCACCTTGAGAACTTGCAGATGTAATGAAAATGAGGCAAGAGCAAAATGAGAACACAGCAGAAAAAAGTTATATCTTGCTGTGTCCCTTAAAAAAAAATAAAAGGGCATGTCCATCTCCTCCTAGTTATTCCATATCTGCTACATATTCTTATTCTGAGACACCAAAAATATTTTCAACAAGTTGGGTTTTTAAGGGCTCTGTCTCACAGACACATTTTCTGGGATCTCTTTGTCCTCACCTAGTTACTCCTAAGGTGCAAGTCCTAATTCTACAGCCGAGAGCACTAAATACTAATTTCCAGGGATGAACTTACAGCTATTCTGCTGTAGCTTAACCCCAACCAGCAACTAAGTATGGCACAGCCACTTGCTCACACACACCCCCCACCTCCCAGCTGGGATGGGGGAGAAGATCAGGAAAAAAAAAGTGAAAAAACTCAAGGGTTGAGATCAAGACAGTTTCCTAAGTTGTGCAAAAGCTGTGCTTGCATGAAAGCAAACCAAAGGATTCATTTACTATGAGCCATTCCCAGGAAAGCAGGGCTCCATCACACATCAGGTTACTTGGGAAGACAAACACCAGCACACTGAATGTCCCCTCATCCCTGCTTAGCAGTACCTGAAACACCCCCGTGTTACCAGCACAAATCCAAAACACAGCCCTGGAGTAGCTCCTGTGAAGAAAATGAACTCTATCCCAGCCCTCACTCTAGGAGGGAAGGCAGAACTGGGACAGCCAGATGTGACAGTCCAGCATTTCCATCTGTTGTTGCATCTCCCGATTCCCCTCCTTCCCTCACTCTTTAGTGACCCTCAGCACGTTATTTTGTACATCTGATCTGCTCATTAAAACGTGACGAGTGGTTTGGCAGCTCTCTGTGTGTGCATCAAAAAAGAACTTGGCTATCACAAATTGCTCCTGCCAGTCTTGGATCACCTGTGGGAAGGACTTGTGACCAGCCCTGCAACTGGAGAGCCCTGTGGTTTTCACCTTCCCTGTGCTCAGGGTTGCAGGAAGGCATTCCCAGGGCTAAGGTTTGGCTGTGAAAGGCAGCCAGGGAATACCCAGAGGGATTATTTATTCTCAGCTTCATCTGCTTGTCAAACACCTCTCTGTAAGTATGTGATCTTTCAGTAGGGTAGAGGTGATATAAGCAAGGATACTGAACTATTTCCTGCATTGCACAGTAATCATCATGTCAAGGAAACAAGGAATGTGCCTGCGATACAAATGCCACTCATAAAATCCCACAATCTGGAAATGGCCACTTCAACAACAGAGTGTCTTTTCTGGGGGAGCCAGTGTCAAAAAAAAAGACAACAAACACTGATGTTCTGAACAATTTTTTATCTGCACAGCTAGAGGCTCCAAGAGAGTGGGCTTACTGGCAGTGTGCACTAACATTTCAGCACCCCCAGCACCCCCAGCCCCACAAACCAGGCTGGGAGTGAGGCCCCACTAGAAGGCCCCGTGACCCAGAGTGATTTGAGTGATTGCAGGGAGATAATTGCTGCCTTTGGATCCAGCTGACCTTTGCTTTCTGTTTGCAGTATGCAAGGGGCTCCACAGTCTGCTTGTTATGGCCACTTATCCATATGTTTGCTAAAATGCTTTTAAAGAAATGCAGTATCAGCGTCTCCTCTGGCCTTTGACACTGCTCACATCAGGACCTTGTTTTCTGGTTTATTCCAGCTTCATCTTCCAAGCTAACCACACCAGGAAGAGGGAGGGAGGGAGGTGGAATGCCCCAGCTCCTCCATGTGCCTTACACCTGTCCTGTACCCTCTCCACTGTCACATCAGCCTGTGCATTACTCCTGCCTTGGCAGCAGGAGACAGTGTGGGTTAAAGGCTGATAAAGCCACGCCACAGAATTCCACCTGGCCTTTCACACCGGGGATCCAAACCTGCTACTTCCCGTGAGCCCCCCAAACTATAAACCCCCTGCTCTGTCCCTGCCTTGGCCTGGTGCTGAGATGAAAACCAACTGCCGGCAACCTCAAATTTCTTAAACCTAGAATAAAATAGCTGGCCCTAAGAAGTCTGTGCAGAACACACGCAGACAACTGGTCAGGGAGCTTTTCTTTCTTTCTTTTTTAGGGCTTGTATTTTGGAAGCAAAGAGCTTTAGATCCAGCTAGCCTTGAAAGCACAAGCACTGCCTGGAATTCCTCCTACAGATGTGAAGCCAAATTCTGGCTTCTGCCACGGCAGAAACTGGGGAGGGAGAGGTGTAGATGGTGAAAATGCAAAAAAGATCCAAGGGAGATTCTAAGAATCAGAGCATAGTTCATCATGGGGAACTTTTCAAGAGCACTGGCAGAAGAGATGAAGGAAGGAGATAAGAAGGCACAGTTCGGCAGAGAGCTCAGTCCATACCATCCTGCCCAGCTCGGCCTCTCTGTAGAGGAGGCAATTTTCACCTGTTGACACCAGCCCCAGCAGCTTGGCAGACAGGCTGCCACTTCTGTGAAGGCCGATGACAAAAATCAGGTATTCTCCAGAAACACACAAAATTGCATTTCCAAGCTCCCATTAGGGAGGGTCCTGCAGGCAGCAACAACTTTGTGCTGAGAGCCCCCAGGGTTCAACCCACCCAGCAGGCCTTTCTGTACAAACACAGTAGACAAGGATGCTCTTTTTGGGACAATGGCGCTTGAAAAGTCTTGTTAAAATAATTTTCTCAATAGCTTACACCCTCTCCCTCTTAATTACATCTGGCTGAAGCAGGATTACAGTCTAGGTTTACAAAATGCCAGAGAGGAAGTGAACTCAAGCACAGCTGCTTTCTGAAAGGCTACAAGACATGAAGGATTTGCTGCTGCTCCACCTGGACTGGCAGGACAGGGCTGGGGATGAACTGCACACCAGGATCATCTTTATCTGAGCCCAGTCAACTCCCCTTTCCCTTTATTAATCCCATAAATGATGGCAGGAAAAAATAAGCAAGTCTAATAACAGTGAGCAAGCAGTTGGTAAGTGAAGGTGCTGAAAATCAAGTTTGACCAATCAATACATGCTACAAAGCAGTTACCGAGGTGTAGTAGGCAGTTAATAATTATAAATAATAATGTACTCAGCTAAAACCCATAGTCTCTTCAATGCCACCTGCTGCTCCACAGTTATCCATGGTTTAAGAGTTTATTCCTCAGTCACCTTCAGAAGAGGACATGAACTTTTACCCTGTGCTCCTCTCTACCCCTCTCCATGTCCTGAACACAACATCAGATTCTGGGGCTCTTTCTGCATGAATTTGCACTCCTCCCTGCTTCGTGTGTTCTCCTGGTTCCAAGAGCTTTCAGCTTAAAAAAATATCCCTCCTTCACCTGGAGCTGGAGAGTTCCGAGTTCCAGTTCCTTCTTCCAGGATTATTTCTTCACTTATTTTTACACAGCCTATGAAATGAGTTTAAATAGGCTGAGGAGCAAACATGGAAATTCACTTTTTTTTTAATATATCATCAGGAAATTTAACTGCAAATTACTGGACTGCATTTTTATTATCCCTTTCTTTTATAAGATAGAGACGATTCAAAGACATCTCAGAGCAACCACTTTGGAATAGCATTATTTTTAACACAGAGTAACTACTGTCTATTCCATTAGCAAACTGTTGTTTTTCTATGCGCTGCTAAAGACTGTCTACATCCACAGATAGCAAAAAAGAGAAGAAAAAGAGAAAAGAGAACCCACCTTTTCACAAAGAAAAATACTGAGTTCTACTTTCAGGGGTTTTAACATGTGCAGTTTTTTGGACAGTTCTGGTGGGAAGTGCCCGTGGTCCCTCTGAGTTATTAGCGGTCCCACACAGAGCCTCCCTTCAGCTCCTCTCCCTCCAGTGCTCACAGTGGGCCTTTATGCAGCATAAAGACTGATCCCAAGCTGGGAGCTGAGGGAGACAACTCTGCAGCAGGCTGGGAAGGCTCTGCTGTGCTGTGGCCCATAAGAGGGCAGCTTTTCAAAGCATTCGTGTCTCTGCTAAATCATTTCTTAAGTCCCACGTTCAAATTGCCTCTCTGAGTGCTGCTGGAGCCTGCCCTGTGAGCCCCTCGCTAGAACTGAGGCAATGAAGGATGTGATCACTTTTCTGAGGGTGTTGGGACCCAGAGGCAGGTCTGATTACATCATTTGTTTGGGGCTGAGTCTCGGGAGCTTTATAAAAAGCAGTGCTAAAAGCAAGGAGAGAGAAAAGGGGAGAGGAGGGCAACAACTCATTAGCAGGAGCTCTGTAGGTGTGCATCCTGCTCCTTGCCACATGTCTGCAGGGGGATTTCTTCAGAGTGCAGAGCAACCTGGGAACTGCTGGAGTATTTTAAGTCTTTCCTTGAGATGTCAGCCAAGAGCTTCAGTGTAGCCCCAGTGGCTACTGTGCTGATTTTCTTCCTAGAGACACAACTCTCAGTGCCAGCGCCGGTGAATGGTAAAGTCTTTCAGCTTTCTATTTTATTGGAACTTAGGGCTGCTGTGTGTGCAGAAAACTTAATTGTGGCATCTCTTAATTAGTACTACTTCAATACCCTGCTCAAAGTGGATTATGTATTGTTGCAGGCTGTGGTTGTTTGGAGTTAGTATCCTAATTTCAGTTTCTCAGGAAAGGGAAATTTGTCCTCTGGTTTAACTTGCATTACAGAGTTCTTTCATGCTCAGTGTGCTTTGCTTTGTCACCTTTTTGTTTCTCATAGAAGGAAGCAGAGACTCAGACTTAGTGGAAGCATCACACCTTTCCCTCTGCCCTGTTTATTTTTAAACTGGAGTGGGGGGAAAAAAGGAATCCCTGGGAAGCAACCCCTACACTCGACCTCATAATATTTAAATAGGATTAGTTCTTTTTAGGAGTGGATGTTCATATATTCAAGGTGATTATAATAAATTTTCACCCTTTCAAGCTAATTATCATCCACCTAGTGTTATTACAGGATACCAGGGGGAATCATTATAAAGGGCTGTGTGAGAGGATTTACTCAGCACATAAATTCATGGCACCAAAATCCTGAAGGTTCAAACATGATCCAGAGCTGCTGCCTCCATGCAGAGCTCAGCCAAGACAAGCATTTAACCATTTTTCACAGGAGCAGAGTAACGTGTGGGATTCAAACTTTAAAGGTCGTCTTTTGTTGTTCATATACCCTCTGAAAAATGCCAATATTCTGCAGCAGAATCTCCCACCCAAAGGGCAGAGGTGCTTTCCAGAATAACAGAATAAACTTTTTGCTTTCTGGGTGTTTTGTGTGACCACACAGAAGATTTGGAATTGAAAGGATGTGTTGAAAAGACACCTTGAAGGGAATGCTGGAGAGCTCCTATCTTAGAACCTGGACCAAGGAATGGCAGGAGCTACAGTATCTGCCTGTCCCTGACATCTTCCCAGGTAGATTAGCACAACTGCAACCATTCCCACTTTCCCAGTGCACAAGTGACATTGGAAAGGTATTTTTTCCCTGTCTATTGATCAGTCAAAGGCAGATTCTCTGCTGCAGGAACCCCCCTGGTTCCCAGATGTAAGCCAGAGGAAGGATAATAACCTTGCTCACAGCCTGAGGTTGGCAGCTCTGTGTGATCATCCAGCCCAGATCAAGAAGAAGAAGAAGAAGAAGAAGAAGAAGAAGAAGAAGAAGAAGAAGAAGAAGAAGAAGAAGAAGAAGAAGAAGAAGAAGAAGAAGAAGAAGAAGAAGAAGAAGAAGAAGAAGAAGAAGAAGAAGAAGAAGAAGAAGAAGAAGAAGAAGAAGAAGAAGAAGAAGAAGAAGAAGAACTGGCCATAGTATTGAAAATATTTGAAATTGGTTGGTTTAAGGTTATTCTAGATTGTGAAAATCATAGTTTTAACACCCCACACACATTTCAGTGGTCAGTAAGAGCAAGAACAGAGCAGCTATTGTAGCTAAGCCAATATTCCTTCAAAACCTGCTGCCAGTCCATTGCTATCTTTATGCAAGTTTTACCTGCAGATGTTCTGAGCAGAAGACACAAGGAACCCCCAAAGAACCTCACTCAGAGATAATCCCCGCAGGGTGAAAGGGGAGAGGAAAATGAGGTTTTCCCCTCTGGAATCAAAGACAGTGCATGAATTCTACAAGAACTTAAGGTCTTCAGTCAGGATGATTACACAGCTTTGAAAATTCCAGTGGAAAAGAACCAGGCACAGTGGTCCTAACAGACTGGAAGCAGAGAGTTCAGTGTTCCAGCCTGATACAAAATACCAACACAAGAGAGCCAAGTGCAGCTGTTTTGCACTTCCCTACAAATTAATCCCAAACACTTCACACACCATCCCTTGGAGAGGAGTGACAGCATTTCAGAGCACAGGAAATGCAGCCAAGAGCCAGCTATGGGTGCTTGTAAGGATAAATATCTGCCTGCCTGCAAACACTGAGTGCTTGCAAGGCCTGTAATTCAGGACTGCTTTCCAAGCAGAAGCAAAATTAAATTTGCAAAGAACGAAGATCTGCATTAGCCCCACAACCAGAACTGTTCAGGTCTGTCAGGACAAGCACCTCTAGCTATGCAGGAAGCTGTGTGGTTGTAGGCTTCAGGACTAGGAATAAAATCCCTTAAAAGAGCTTTTAATAAGTCAAGACATTTCCAAAGACATGCAGAGACACTGTCCCAAGTTCAGTTCCTTGAGCAGTGGGTGGGTATTGATCCCTTTAACACTCACTCCCCCTCCCAGGATTCTCTGAGCTCCGGGGGTTCATGTATCATACTCCCTTTTTTCACAGTCTATTAATTGCTGTTTCAGCTGGCAAATCCCAGAGCTGTACAGAAATGACTGTCCATCATTTCCCACTCTAGCAACTGGCAATCCACTGATGTTTTTCAAACTCCTCCACTAGGCATGAAGGGGTTTGTTGTTGTACACCCCATTGAAATTCCTTTGCTTCCTAGCCAGAAAAAAATCAGGGATGTACCTACACACAAACTCTGGGGATATTCCACCAGAGGAAAAAAAAAAAAAATAGACTGTCAACAGTTTATGGGCAGGATTACAGGGATAATTATGATAATAATTTGGGTGAGAAAGGTTCATAATCTTTGGAATTGTCTACGGTTTGCTCAACAGCTGGGGCTGGGAAAACAGATAAAAGTATTGCACAGTTCAGCACAAGGGTTTGAGTAGCAACTTGTTTCTCTACAGAGTAAGATCAATTTCAAATATTCACACTAATGTTTTCTTTGTCTTTAAACAGGGTCAAAGTGGTCTTATATCGGTAAGTACTAATTTGTATAACTCCTACCTACTAAGTTGTGGCTCTCTTCTGTATTTTAAGGACAACTTGCCAAATGTGTTCTGGTGACCACTTACTGGGTTCACCACCTTCACCCAGGTTTGGAGCTGCTCAGTTGTCTCGATATCTGTTCTTCAGCCATCAGGTTCCACATCTGGCTGACTGAGAGCCAGTTACTGAGTTCTAAATTGCCTTGTGGAATGGCAGCACTTCAGCACACTGAGGGTGGCCCCACAACTGCAGAGGATCCCCAAAGCCCCCAAATCCCCCAAACCCCACTCCCAGGCCAGCAGCACATCTGAACCTGGTTCTGCAGGGACCACTCCTCCCCATGCCCACGGGGGTCTTCATTTTTCAGTCAGAGTTCAGCAAATCACCTGTATCACGTTGCTGAGGACCCCAAAAATCCCAGCAGTGACAAAACAGACTAATTAATATTCAGCAAAGTAGTGTTAATTTATACCTAATTGAACTAACTTGTAACTAGTCCTTCTTGTCAGCTACTGACCCAGAAGGACCTGGTGGCTGCTCAGAAAGAAGAATTATCCAGATGTTTGCTTTTAACTGGTCAAATCCTCTAGCCAGGTATTTCCTCACCCAGAGTAGCATTTAAATGCCACATGCCCACAGAGAAGTAGCAGTACTGGGAACCCCACCAAAAAATGCTTGTTCTTAAGCTGCTGCTGCTCCAACACAACACAAAGAACCTCTGAGCCTGAAGCTGCCTCTCAGAACTCCTCCCTTTGGCTGAGCTCCAATTTACCTGACTGGCTTCACGTAAGCAGAGGGAAAACTGGCAGCTGCAGGTCCATGGGCACTGTCTGACTGCCCAGGCACACACAGGCACTTCACACTCCCAGTAGGGAAAAGGTTTGACATGCTTTGATTGACAAAAGCCTGCAGTTTCCAGCTTCACAGCAGCCATCAGGCAAACCTAACCCTGCTGGGCTGTGAGGAAAACAAGGCTGCTTTTGCTTCTTTTACCATCAAAGCAGAAGTTTTGCCCTCTCCATCCCAGGGTAGTGGTTGTTTCAATTGGTTACTTCTCCCTTTCTGGGAATTTGAGGGCCAGTGTTTATTTCAAAATGCCCACCTTCATCAGTTCTCTTCCATCCTGCAGTCTGATTCCTATATTCTAACGTGCTAGAGGATAGAGGGAAGGTTCACAAAACAGATTAGCCTTTTCCTTCAACTACTGATTTCAAAATATATCCACAAAAATATATATATATATATAAATATATAAATATATAAATGCAACTTCAAAAAATTAAAGTAGCCACTGAACTTGTACCGAGTAGTACAGAAAAGCAGAGGTGGAGCACTGATCTGCACACAGAAAACCAGGTATTAGACTGCACTAAGCCAGAGGAGAGCCTCTCCAGACTCTTCTACTGATCCTGGTTCCTTATGGCAGCTTAAACCTCCCACCATTTATCTTCATCCCTGAAGCTCTTTGCAGTGCCTCTGACTACAATCAAGTCAATAGGAAGGGAAAGGAAATCATAATTTCCAGCACCATCACAATCACAGTGCAGACTGATGTCAAGATGAGGGTCCAGGTACAAGATTAAGGGTGGAGTAGGAGCAGATTTGTTGAGTAGGAGAATATGTAAAGCTGGTTGTGGATTCAGTGTTAACAGCTCAGGGCATAGTGGCAAAGCAAGATGACACAGCGTGTGATCAGCCCTTATCTGTGCAGCACAAACTTTCCAAAGAAATGGGCATTTGTCTTGGCTGTAATGGAAACTCCTACATCAGATACAGTAAATACAAAGGCTAAAGCTCTTCTCTGTTTGCCTCTTCCTTAGCCAAACTGCAGCAGTGCTATTTGTTCTTGCTGTTCTCACTCCTCTTGTGTGTACCCCAAGGAAAAGTGGCTGGAGGAAACACCACAGAGCAGTGAGCTGAGGCCCCTGGGGCACAGGTTGGCTCTGCGTTCCCTCCTGGAAAATGGACAAAGGACACCCAACATGTTGTAAGGAAAGTGTTTTCAGTTAAAGAACTGAAGGAATGTTTCTGATGCCCCATAGCTCAGGACAGCGTGTGCACACAGCTGCTGGCAGGGCTGCTGTGTGGCTGGAAGGTGCAGGCCTGAAGTTCTCTACCCCAGAAAAAAAATGCTAAAAGTGGATGTTGGGCTTCAGTTCTCTGGATTCTGGCTTTCTGTTTCTGTAATGTAAGTGGGTCAGAATGAAATCAGAGAACCAGAGTCATCCCTTCAGAGAGGACAAGCAGCTACAAGGCAGAAAACCAGCTTTACAGACAAGTTCAAAGCAATAGTGCCAACAGAATTACTAACATGCTTTAGCAGTAACAGTGCCAACAGAATTATAAATGTGCCTTAGCATGTGAGCAGACAACCTCATGCTGCAATGTAGACACAAGAACTGTCGTTAACAGACATCAGGCTAATTGTACTTGCAAGCTCTTTCATTCTCCTCTTGCCAAATACTCAGCTCCAGTTCAGTGGGGTGCTGAGAACCCGTGCTAAGACTCCTCCAGCTCCCCTTAGGAAATGCCAGCTTTGGTGAACACGCTAAAGGACGCCTCAGATCTCTCACACAGCACTTGAATGCAGTAGCAGGGACAGCTGCACCCTTGGCAATAATTCCTCTCTCTCTCACAAGCTTCCCTCTGGACACCCACCCCCTGGCTCTGTGTGCAGGGGACGGTGGGACTGAGCTGTGCCTGAGCTCTGAGGGCAGGAGCTGCGCTCTCAGCCTTCACTGCTGCTCCAGCCCCGGGCTGAGGGCAGCTTTAGAGCTGCCAGCTGGCTGAGGGCAGGCAGAGGGCTGGGCCTGGCTACAAAAGCACCACAGACATTCCCTGGGTTACTCACCCAGCGCGGTTCAACAGTGCAGGGTGTGCAGATCGAGAGAACTCGGACAGACTGCAAGGAGCTTGAGCAACATGGGTATTAATTGGTCACTGGAGCAGAATTCTGCTGCTAACACTGGTGACTCTCAGGCCTCTCTTCTCCTGAGCCAGTGTGCACATCCTGGGAGCAGACCCCACTGGGGGGCTGTGGGGCTGGCTGCAAAGCCAAAAGCTGTCACAGGAGATGACACAGTGGGCACAGGCAGCCTTGGGCTGAGCGTGGTTTGCTCAGCTCACTGGGCAGCCTGACTATCCAGGGAATCATTACTGCTTTGTTTGCAGACAGCTTGTGTAAAACAGCCACGAGGGCACAGTCAGGCCCAGGGCTGTTTACAGTGTGCTAGGGGAACATGGTCCTGCAAAATCATATAAAAAACCCACAAGCTGGATTGGAGCAGCCTGAGTCTGCACTCCCTACACCAGGGAATGTGCTTGGCAGCTCTGGGAGCACCGGGGTCCTACTCCCACTCGCACCAACAGCTCCCTGCCTTCATTTGCTCACTCCATCAGCTGAATAAGTGATGAGAGGGCAGAACAGGCCCATGGCACAGTTATTGCTCTGCTGACAGTGCTGATGGGATCCTCAGAGCAGCAAACACCTCCTGAAGTGCCTGGGCCTTCCACAAATGTTTCTCAAAAGAAGGAAATTACCTATGAAGATAATTTTGCAATACTTCTCATGTTAATACCTTTTGGGACTTGTAGCCCAGGCCAATGTTAATAAATCCACATGCTGTTCTTTACTCAGTAGTGATCAGACAAAGCCTTTGTAAACACGATGTGATTTCCACTGAATTTATCTGAATGTGCTGGCACAGAAAAAGGAAAATCTGGTTCACAATCAACCATTCATTTTCAACAGACCTAGCTGAGAAATGCCTTCCAGCTGTGTGGTTTATCTGCCATGGAAATCTCCATTTCACATATGCAAACCCGAGCTGCAGTGAGCTCAGCAATTTGAGACCAGGCACTGAAATTGGAAAGACTACGTGACAAAAGGCAGAATTTCTATAAAAATCGGGTTTGTGCCAAAAAATGGGGTTTGTTTGGTTTGGTTTGGTTTTTCTTAATTGAGCAGGAGTGGGAAACAAGCAAAAACTGCTGCAGCTGAAAGGCCTGGGAGTGAGTTGCAGAGTTATGTCAAGGAAAGGATAACTGCTAGTAAAGACCAAAGTTCATAAAGACTGTGATAACTACAGCATTTTACAGAAAACACTAAAGTTTTCCTTCTGAGCTGGTGATTGAGGGGTGGAAGTTCCCATATTCTGCTGCCAACTCTTTGGGGCATTCAATTTATCCAAACATAGTTTGTAGTTCATGACATGGTTTTCACTGGCTGGGACTAGACTTGTGTTTTATATAACGATTACCTATTTAATTATCAAGTCTCCAAACCTGTGATGTGCAATATATCAAAGTCTTCTTGCAAACTCACTACCCTAAAAAACCTTTTTTTAAATTACTGAGTCTTTTTTTACAATAAGGGCTTCTCATCAGTTTTTCTGTCTGGGCTCCCTGAAAAATGTTAAATTTCAGTGTCATTGTGTTGCATATCAAGTTTCAGCTGAAGAAACTGTCATTTCCTGGCATATCCTGATGTATACTTTCCTGGGAAATACTCTTGAGTATATATGGAACTGTATTTGTTATTTGCCAAAACATAGGCAGAGGATAGTGTGCAAGTCTTCTATAATGTCAGCATAACATTTATTAGCTTTTTCAAGGAATTTCAGTAACTTCAGGATCTAAGAGGAGAGAAACTAATGTGATTATCAGCAAAGCGGAGTCAAAGATTTAAGCTGCAGCAACATCAAGGCCTGTTTATACTGAAAATCACTGATTGAGGCTGACTGTCCACACTGCAAACAATGTCATTAACCTATGTTACAGGTGTTAACCTATGTCTTGAATAATTTTAAGCAGCTTTGGCAGTGAAATAAGTCTGTCTTTAAGCACCAGAACTGCACTTGCCTCTGTCACACACACTGTTTAAGTCCGAACTCACCTCCACTATCCATATGCTTGGCAACTGCCTTGCATGTAAATAAAGGGAGCCTCTAAAAATACCCTCCTGACTGTTCATTTCCTTCAGAAAGGATCTGAACTCGCTCTGCCACTGATGACCTGATCTTCAAAGAAGCCACAGGGAATATTACAGGTTTGGAAAAGAAGCCTTGTAACCAAAGGCTCGAGGGGCTTAGTTTAAGAGAAGTGAGAAACGACATCCTCTGTGTTGGAAGAACTTCAGCGAGGAACAGAAACATGACAACAGGCTCACAGTGACAATCGAGCTGGGTGCTAATGAAACATCTTTCACCTGAAAAGCTTAAAGGAAGAGCAGATGTTTATTCCTTTCTGAAAGATGTGGCCTCCTTGAAGCAGAAACTGCTGCAGGGAGGTCCAGTACCCTGTGCTATCCAGACCAGGCTGGTGATCCCAAAAGACCTTCCTGCCTTGGAAAGAATCACGAGGAGTGTTCAGAGACAGGAGAAACACAAGTTGCAAGTGTTTCTTTTGGTATTTAAATCCAAATAATCTCAGTTTACAGCCTGTGAACAGCTGCTGCCTGTTAATGTGTAATTAAATCAAAGGCACAATTAAAATTCTCTTGATATTATCTATTCTTTGTAGGTCCTATCTTGGGCAAAAGACCGTGATGAAGAAAAGTTTCATCAGTCTGAGCAAGTTCTTGCAGGTCAAATTATCATAGCACCTTCCATTTTCTGCAAGTTAGCTTTTCAGAGTGAGTTGTGTAATCTTGCTGGAGAGAGCCAGGCAGTCTGTACAGTGAGGGACTGGCTTTTTGGCCACTGAACTCTGTCACCATGAGGTCACTTCTTGCAGGTCTAGCTCTGGGAGCTGCCAGCCCTGCAGTTCCCAACATCAGCAGCAGCTGAGACTGTCAAAAAATCGAGGGGCAGCAAAGGCAGTGAAGTGTCTCCATGTGAGATTTTCTTTTGGCATTTGGCCCTTTTCTATCCAATGGTGCAATTTTCCAATATCCAGTTTTCTATCCAATTAAGATTAAAAAAAAAAAACCACCTGCCTAAACATTCAGAAAAGGGCTTGCTTTCCAAATTTGGAGTTAAGGCTTGGCAAATGTGTCTCTGTTGATTTACTCAGGTCCCGAGGGAGAGAAGGCCTGGCCAAAGAAATACCCATTTTGTGGAGGAGTGTTCCAATCTCCAATTGACTTCCACAAGGATATTCTCCAGTACGATTCCAATCTCCTGCCTCTGGAATTCATCGGCTACAACGTGTCCTCCACTGAGCATTTCACACTGACCAACAATGGGCATTCAGGTAAGGGAGCTCAGTGACAGCAGGAATTGGCAGCTGCAGGAACTCAGGGGGTTTTTTTGCTTCCTGAGTGAACTATTTTGGTTATCAGATGAAATCAGGCTGTGATGATAAAGCCTTCGCATCAGCATGCCCATATCTACAGCACAGGCTAGGGAAACCTGGGGATGTACTAAGACTTTGGGGTTCTGTTGAAAAGAGCTAGACTGATAAAATGTGGGTGTAATATGGGCGCACAGAAGAATAATCAGAAATAGCATACAAATATACCCTCCCCACTGTGGCACTAAAACAAAGTGTCAGTACAGGAGGTAAAGCAGAAAAGATGCAGTCTCATAAAGATCTACTACACTGACACAGTATACAATACCAGTTAGTTCTACCACTTCTCATTCCTTCCTGAAACGTTTCAAGACACAGGAATAAACACAGTTCTAACGCCCTCCTTCTTTGTATCCTCCTCTGTTGTATTAGCACCAAAATAACCTGTGTTATAAAGTGGCCCCTGCTCTGCTCTGGCATGTTTGGTTAAAAGATGCCCAGCATGCAAAAGTCTCTTTTTCTCTCATTCTGCTCGACTGAACATCATAAGCCCATTCTTAGGACACAATTCCTGGTTTTCCTCTGAATCAGTTTCTCCATCAGCACCAGGTTGCTTTGAACTAGGAATGGCTGGAACACCTTTGCCCTGTGAGCCTTCCTTTCCTAAAAGTCCTTCTTGGTCCTGAGTGAAAGACTACACTGAAGCTGTTGCTTCATGAAGTACCAAACATCTCAAGTGAACAACTGACAGGTTTCTGCTGAGTTGAGAGTTACTGCTGTCATTTCTACACCAAAAAAAAAAACAAACCACCAAACCCAGCCTGTCATCCCCCCTCGAGAGCATTAGTGAGCAGGAGGGAGGGAATGCATGCAAAGGTCTCGATCCACTCAAGAGAGGAAATGCTAATTCTTAAGGTCTATTTGACATCAGTTTTCTGGGTTTTGGAAACAGTGAGGAGAGGGGGAAGTTTATTTGGTTTTGCCACGTGCTCCTAAAAGAAGATCAGGAAGCAGAGGGGCTCAGTGTAACAGGAGATAAAAAATATCATGATAAATATAAATTCATTAAGTCATTTTCAATCATTATAAGGGGATTGAAAGAAGGCACACGAGCCTAAGTTTTGCTTCAACATACCAATAATTGTCCCTTCAATAAGTCTGAGATAAATTTGAGTACTTCAGGGACAAGCGGGATTTCCATTAGCAGCAATTCTCACACTCAATTCCTTTAATTAAGGAAGTAGAAAAAGCATATGTTCTAAATTCTCCTGATTTACCTAGAAAAGGACTAAAGAGCACTGAAGTGTTCATCTCCCCCCACAGACTGAGGTGGGTTTGAGTTAAGAACCTGCTTTGTTCCCGCTCCCAGCATTTTTATTTGCCCTGTTCTCGAGGGCAATGTGGTATCACTTGCTCTGTTTGCTCTGCATCTGCAGTGAAGATGTACCTGTCACCCACCATGCACATCAGGAACCTCCCTTTCGAGTACGCTGCGTCTCAGCTCCACCTGCACTGGGGGAACCGCAACAAGTCAGAAGGCTCGGAGCACACGGTGGCTGGGAAGCATTTTGCAGCAGAGGTAGGGCAAGCTCAGCTCAGGGAAAGAGCAAAAACCCCTCCCCGTGTCCTGGGGATGAGGCTTTAAAGGGTGCTGAGATCTGGGTACGTGCTGAAATACTGGATTGTGCTGTCACTGAGTCAGGGGGTTGAAACTTGGGCTCCAAACTCAGAGCTGGGACTATTTGTTACCTTTGCTAATCCTAAATGGTAGATTTGGGAATAGATTTTGGTAGGAAGTACCAAAGCAAAAGCTGTAGCCAAGTCACACAACCCCCCTAACGGGGGGTTGTGTGACTTGGCTACAGCTTTTGCTTTTCTCTAAGAAGATCTTACACCCAGAAATCACTCAAGAACCCTCTGTATTGTCTTACCCTGAGGTGGCTGCATTGTCCCTTTTACAGAACTGTGAGTGTGACCCCCAGGTTACTGTAACCAAGTGTCTCCTTTGCAGCTGCACATCGTGCACTACAACTCTGAGAAATACCCAGATGTAACAGCAGCCATGGACAAAGAGGATGGCCTGGCAGTTCTGGCTGTTCTCCTCGAGGTAGGACGAGCATCCTTTGGGGTTTCGTCGTCGTTTAGAAGACACTTTCCATCGTTAAGCCATCAATGTACAAGATTACCTGGATTATTTAACCATGCATAAAGGTTCTGCCTTTCCCCTTTCCCCCATAAAAGGCCAGATTCCAGCGGCACACACCAAAACAGGAGCACGTTCTGAGAAAAGAGGGATTCTGAGTATTGCCTCATGCTTTTCAGCAAATTAACTATGTTCAATCCATCTGTGCATCCATTTACCCGCTGATGACTGGTAGGGTTTGTCTAACAGTGAATTCCCAGCTCACTGCCTGAGAACTGCTGTGGCACGGAGCATTTTGGCCCATGCAGGCACAGCCCTGCCTTTGACCACCACATGTAATTAGGATTTAGCCACACTCCTCGTGCTGCTCCCTTCCCAGATTCTTTGAATCACAGTTTACAGTAAACAAGTAAATTCAGGGACCTTTTTAAGAGGACAGAAGGACAGCTTTCCAATTTTCCTCTCCAAAGCCCCACATACAAAGATAATAATTATCATAAGCAGATTGGGGTTTTTTTAGTACCTTGTACATACATGCCTCCCTTTTCTTGAGGATTAAAACTCCTCAATAAGATAACTGTAAAGATAATTTTTAAATGTGAGGATTTCCTGCAGCATAGAAAACCAAACCCCCAGGTTTTCACATTTCCATCAAAAAAAGTGAAAATGTTCTAGTTAGCAGACAAAGCTCTTATTAATGTTATCCCACCCAGCTCACTTCCTAGCAGCTCTAAGATTCTGACAGTAATTCTGTGTTAAATTTCAGGTAATTTGGAAGTTGCAGCTGTGAAAAGTGTCAGAGTACTGTATATTTTGCTAGGGAATAACACTGGGATTCTGATTATTTCCAAGCAGTGGTGTTTAAAAATCAAATTAGGGAACAATGGAGATTAAATCTTTGAAAAACTTTCAGCCAGCTGGTGGCTAGTACAGTTGATCTGAGGACACCAGTTCACTATGTCTGGTTGTCAGAGGAGTTGCTAAGCACCAACTGAAGAATTCATGAAAAAAGACACTGATTATTAGACAGAAGAGCTGCTGGTAGCAGTTGAAAAAGATGGTCTTTTCTGATAGTTGAGTTATAGCCCTTGCCATTGGGACCCAGCGGTGTCATCTTTTATCTCCCTAGACTGACAGGAGCAGCAGATTGAATAATGTTTGTGGGTGGAAAACTGCAGCTTTGGCTAGAAAGCAGCAGATGACCTGAGGAGCCTCAGCTGAGAGCTCATGCCTGCAAAGTTCTCAGAGGAAATGGTTTCTCTCCTTTTGCACAGCACTCTGAGCAGGCGAGGCCAGCAGGGCCTTTCAAGGGCACACCAAAATTTACACTGCTGTTGTCAGGACAGCATCCTGACAAGGCAGCTCTGACAGCTCACTGTGGTTCTGAGGGCAGTGCTAGTGGTTTGAGTTATAAAGGCACTTATGCCACTCTGGTACCTGAATATTTCAATCATTTCAGATTGGGCCCTTCAACCCATCCTATGAAAAGATCTTCAGGCACTTCCGGAACGTGAAGTACAAGGGTGAGTGGCTGCATCTCACTGAGCGTGGCTGAGGGTATCAGATGCCCCCCTGAGGGGGACTGAACTGGCTGCAGACACAGCCCAGAGACCTCAACAAACCTGCCACAAGCTGTGAGAGACCTCCAAATGCAGTGCATTTCTGGGGGAGTTGTAGGGCTGCCACGCACCACCCGTTCCTGGCTGGGCCTTATTTCTGGCACACGGTGGCTTTTAGTTCATCTGGCCTTCAGTTTATCTTCCATACTGGAAGTTTATCATATTTGATATCTAAGATTTGTACACAGAGACCCTAAAAAGCCCTGTTCCTTATTAAACTGGGACTGTCTCTGCCAAAAGGTATTTCTCTTGTCCTAGTGATACAACACCCAAAACACCCGATTTACTGAAAAGCAAATTCACTCCACTGGGGTAGGAACGATGCAGGATTTAACAGGAATGCCCTTTTGCAGACCAGAAGGTCCAAGTGCCTGGTTTCAACGTTGAAGAACTGCTCCCTGCCAGGCTGGAGGAGTTTTATCGCTATGAAGGGTCCCTGACAACTCCCCCCTGCTACCCCAGCGTTCTCTGGACGGTTTTCAGACACCCCGTCACGATTTCACAGGAGCAGGCAAGTGGCAACAGAGCACATGTTTCCCTGGCTGGGGTCAGCTAAAGAAGAGCAAATGAATATTCTCATTTCCTGGGTTTCTCTTATCTTCCTCTAAAAGTGAAAGAGAGCTGTTGCTGAAACCCTTCAAGTGGGAAGAACAGCACAGCAGTGACCTAAAGCAATATCCTGCTCTGTTTGTAGTTAGCATGTTTGCAGTTGGCCAGAATAAATAAACAGCAGACAACAGCATAGTGATTGGTACAGTATCAGCTCGAAAACATCACAGTCAAGTGAGATTAATTTCTGCTTTCACCGTGTACTTACTCCCTGCTTAAAGACTTCCCATGAGTTGCTTGCAGATCGGTTTGTTCAGGCTTCATGTCTGAACCCTACTCACCAAGTATTATAGTGCTCCTTCCATCCTGACTTGGGTATGACAGGTTGGGTAGATGTGAAGTCTCTAAAAAGCGTGTGATGTGTTGTTTGTCAGTCTTGAATCCCTAGTGTTTCTCCCAACTGACAGTTTTTGTGCTCACCTAATTAACTTCTTTTGTTCTTAAGTGGCCACTTACACAAACTATAATAACCCCACAATCACTGTCTTCTGCTTCACCTAATTATAGACACAGGGGGCAAACGTTATTATCAAAATCTCTGATCAAATCACTGCATTCTCCTCATTATTGAAGTCCATCCTTACCTTTGTCCACTCTGTCAGACCGTGTCTTTAGCAAAGAGTTCTTTCATAAAGTAGCTTTTAAGACTGCTTAGGAGTTAGGCTGTGCTAGGGGGAACACGCTGGAAAAGGCCACCATGCTTCCTGCCATCCAGTTTTCCTGGAGGATAACCACTGAGCAGGATTAGTGTTGTCAGGATGTAAACAAAACACAGGCATGCCTTTGGAGATGCCTCCCTGTTTCCACAGTATTCTGTATTTGGGCTCACAGGCCACCTAAGTATTACTTAATGATCCTCTTGCCTTTGATTTCAAACACACTCCCAGGGATCTGCTTTCTCTGTATCATCCTGGGAGCTGAGCAGGGTGCTTCCCTTTGCAGCTCCTGGCCCTGGAAACAGCCATGTACTGCACGGAGAGCGACGACCCAGAGCCCCTGGAAATGGTGGATAACTTCAGGAACGTCCAGGAATTCCATGAAAGACTGGTTTTTATCTCCTTCCAGGAAGGTAAGCTGTGTGAATGCTTCTCTGCAGAGAGGCATTCCCAGTCATTTGGGGACACTTGAAATACTGAGGTGGCAGTGCTGTTGCAATCCCATTTTCCAGCAGATCCCTTTGTTCCCTTTCCTCTCTTGCTGCATCCTTGCACGGGCAGCTGTACAAGAATCAGGCACTCACAGACTACATAAGAATTACTTTTTCCACAGTGGGTGTCAGAGGCAAGACCTGCAACCCTTCTGAAAAGAAGAAAAATGCACTTGGCCCTCTCATGCTTAGCAGAAGTGTTGGCTGTCACTGCAAACACTGAACAGCTCAAGCTGGCCTTGTCTCACCACTGACATTTGCTGGTTCTCAGCAGGGTCAGGCTTGGTTTTATGCAGACCACACACTCAAAAGAAGAGCTCCTCGAGGCCTTCAAACTTGACAAGTAAAAATAACACTGGATTGTATGATCCAGTGTTACAAATTAAAAAAAAAAAAAGTCATCTTCTGAGGAAGAACTGATTTAAAAGCTTAATAGTGCAGGGTTACACAGTGGCAGTGCACAGGTTTGGTGCAGACAAAAGTCTGCATCTGTGGTGAGGAGCTGAGCTGCACCCACAGGAAGGCACTGGGGTATTACCAAACTATCAACAACCCTCAACAGCCCCAAAATTAATATACAAACTGGTACTAGTTGTACAAATAACATTCTGAGCAAACTAAAAGACGACTGAATAGTGAAAGAGGGAAAGAACTGGAGCGTGTCAGTCTTTTCTCCTGCTTTTTCAAATCTCTGCTCAGGTCAGATTATGAACAATGATTTTTAACCAGCAGAATCAGGATTTGCAACACGGCTGCCAGGTTGCTGAGGTGAAGGTTTAGATCCATGCACAGTCAACAGCAAACAACTCTACAGCAATGCCACTGCAGAAACACTCTCTGAAGTAACAGAAGCTCCAGAGTGAGCAGTTACACTTTCTACCCAACCCCCCCCCCCAACTTATCCAAATTCAGTGCCTGGTAGACTTGGCAGTGGTATGTTACTGATTCCTAACCACACCCATGAGCCAATGATTTTCTGAGTCAGGCTGGTCAGTCAGAAATGAGAAATGCACTTTTCCATCTGTTCCTTAAGCTGACTTTTCAGCACCTGACTATATTCTCTCTGCAAATGACACTCAGTACTTAAAAGTAGAAGGTAGAGAGTTACAACCCACGATCCCAGTAACTAAAAATCAGACACTATATTGTCCTCCAGGAATCTCCAAACACTTCACAGAAATTTCCACTATTTCCATCCATGGGGGGAAAATTTGACCCAGATGTGACTTTCTCAAAAATTGCTGCTGTGAACCAGTGCCAAACCCAATAATAACATTTGGCTCCCCCTCTGCTAAGCCACATTGTTTGGCTCCTGGGCAGAGGTGACACCAGCTACAAAAGCATTTCACCAGCTACAAAAGCATTTCCAATGTATCTCTAAAGCTGGCATGACTTAGCAGGGTTAAACGGAGTGGCTTATTGCCCATCCTGCTTTTCCTACACAGGAACTGGTCTTTATGGCTATGAAAGACACTGCTCAGCGCTGCTTGAATAGAAACCCCATTCAGTCCAGCAACATTTAATTACAGAAGCTCATTGACTCTCTCAGTGAACCATAGAAAAAATGCTCAGCCCGTTTCAGACAAGGTATTCACGGCCCCTGTAATCTCACATTCCACTCACCAGTCCCAGAGGCTCCCTCGCAGGTGCAGCCCCTCACCTACAGGGGGGAAAAAAAGAGATTTTCTTTTTTTTTTTTTTTTAAAAAAAAAGGGGAGAGGGAGAGAAAAAAATGTTGCCATCAGAGCACAATTGAGGCCAGCTGGTTGGGGCTGCAAGTGCCCAGCCTGATGTATCTGAACCACTGCAGGGACACAGCACACCTGAGGAGAAGGGAAGGCAGAGCCACCCAGGGAATCGTGGCTCGGGCCAGGCAGCCACAGAGCTTTGTGAAAGTTGTGCACACTCCGAGCCTGACTAAGTGGGTTGTCAGAGCAACTTCTCTGCCCTTTCAGAGCCCAGAGGCCACAAGATGGGGCCACTGGCCTGTGTTTGGCATCAGAACTGCAAACGGCTGAAGTGTTCAGTCCCCCACATTTTTAATGTCTAATTAATATCTAAATTCATGCTCGCTCTTGACAAAAATACATTTCAAAAAGTCTCTAATCTTGCAGGATTATGCAGCACAACTCACACGTGTTTACAATGTGTTCTGGCTGTCAGCAATCTACTCCAGTGAAACCAGCTTCACGTTCATGCAGCTGGAATTTGTTCTCTGATGTGCAAACCATCCAGTGCCCACGAGCTCAGCGGGAACTGGTGTCTAGTGCTGGTTATGGCACCATGCTGGAATACTGTCTAAGCAAATTTCGTAAGAAGATTGTCTCATCAGACAGAAATGCTCCCTGACCTTCCTCTTCAAACTACAAGCTCTTTTTTTCTTCAGTTATCTATTTGGTACTGTACTTTCTTGTCTATTGATGCACCTTTACTATAATGAAACTCCCCTTTTGTAAAATTGCTCTTCTTCAGCTGGACTTAAAATTAATGATGGGTTAAAGGGGATAAGCTTACATGCCAGGTTTGACATTTCTGTTTTCTCAACAGCTGATTTAAAATAGAAAATATTTAGATGGAATATACGAAACCTGTCAGTTTGACTCTGAAAGAGTTCTGATATTGCTTAGAGAGAAAAAGTCATTTGATAAGATGTAAAAACCAATGAATTAGGAAAATGCAGTTAAGAAAAGAGAGCTCATCCTCAGGCTCTTTGGGGAGGCGAAAATAACTAAAAATACTTGCTTTGCCAAAATTATATATATGAAGGTCACTAACAAATATAAAATTATATTGGTAATGCTTAACATCTCTCTGCAAACAAGGGAACACTCAGTTCATACCACTGTCCTGAATTCATTCTTACCTTCCTCAGTGCCCTTAAGCAATGTCCTCAAGAGCAAAGATCACTTTTCAGCTGTCCACACTCATTGGTGTTGTTCTGCCTTGGGAAAAACAAAAGGCATCGAATTTAACAGCCTTACTTGCCTGGGTTTATTTCTGTAGTTTTGCTTATGATCTCTTATACATTATATCCCAAGAATCAGGATTTCCTGAGCTCTCTGCCTGTGCATGTTGGTGCTGGTGACTCCAGTGAGTGTCCAGTGTCCCAGCACTGTGAGCTGTGGGCCCAGCTGTGGGAGCAGGACCTTCCAGTGCACATCTGTGCGAAGTTACCCACGCCACAACCACAAAAGGGGCTGCAGGAAAGCTGCAGCTGCAGAATGCAGATGTCCTGACCCCACAGGTACTGACCTCCTCCTCTCACGTCAAGGACAATAACAGTTTGGGCTGCTCTCCCTCCCTTGCAGGGTTTGTTGTTTCTGCTGTGATAGCCTGCATCCTGGCAGTCCTCACCATCCTTGCAGTAGCCCTGTGGCTCCTGAAGAAGAGAAGGTAAGCTGTCTGCCTGTCACATCACAAACAAAAAACAAGTCAAACCAAATGTTTCCTCTGACACCCAGAAGTGCTCCTGAGTCCAAACCCGCTGATGTTTGATCTTTTACAAGACGTGATCCCTTCCTACAAACTCTGATTTGTTTTTATCACTGTAGACATTATTTCCCCTGTATAACACACTCCAAAGCAATTCTGTTTTATTGCCAGCCAAATATGTTTATTTGGCTGAAAGCTCTCTCCGTGCTGCAACCTTTGGGCCACCGTGGCCACCGTTCTGCCACGGCAGGAGTGGCTGGGTTTTCTGAAAACCAAACATTTACAGTTGTTTCTCCACAGAATAATAATTGCTGGAGCAGTGTCCAAGTAAACCCTTAAAAGATGCAAGGCCAGGAAATAGAGAATTGTATGTGACAACCAGGGAGAACACAAACCCCAGAATATTTCCTGGAACAGTAAGGGAAACGAGGAGAAGGGAATTTTAGAACAACCTCTCCCAAAGTTCACATCGTTTCAGGGGTATAGAAATATGTATTGCCAGAAGATCACGTTAGCCACTGTTTGCCAACAAAGCCAAATCCTGTAAAAAAAAAAAAAAATCTAAGATTACAAAAACTTTCCTACAGCCTGATCCCTTTGCATCCTGCCCTGAATCTGCACGCAGAATGTGATCTCCTGAAATATTTGCAACAATAAGCTACGGTGACATTTGCACTGGCACAGAGAAAAATAATCTCATGCATGCATAATGGACCATCTTGGGTGACTAATGGTGCTTTTCCTTCACTGGCATTACAGTTATTTAATACATTTGTATTATTTCAGCTGCAAAAAGGAAGGGCAAGACAACAGAGGAGTCATCTACAAACCAGGCACGTACAAGGAGGAAGACGACCTCTCCAAGATGTGATGCCCTGATCTGTCACAAAAGCCCCTTTACACTCGTAGCACTGACTTACTTTGGGTTGGGGAGACACATCTCTTGTCCTTGGCTAATGATAAACCTCAGGAGAGTTCTAAAAACAGGCACCAGCCAAAAGTGTTTTCCAGGGAGAAACGATCAGCGAACACCCCTGAGCTGAATTCCTCACCACATTCCTTTCATGTCTGCTGCTCACCGAGTCTGGGTGTTCTGATTGATTCTACAGTTAATCCTAAACTCCAGTTTTAGGGTTTGCTTAGCACAGGTTTTCCCACAGGTGTTGCAACCTGCAGGCTCCCAGCAAGCTACAAGCACTGCTCCCTGCTAAATCAGGGTGTTGGTTTCAGCATCCTGAATATGAACAAGATAAAGGGCAAACTGTACCTGAGATAAGAGTTTGGACTGGGCTGTTTCAGCTGATACAGTTTTTATAAGCACAGCAAACGATGCCAGTGCAGTCACCAGTGGAACTGGAAAGGAGGGAAAGGCAAATGTAAATGCAGGAGGAGCCACAGGGATTAGCAATGGAGTTCAAACCCAGGAACTCAGTGCTGAAAAAACACTACTGCTAGAGGAGCAGCTCCCCTTCCAGACATCCCACAGCCTCACAAATCTGCCATGGGGGCCAGCCCTGACCGTCACTGGAGTGAGAGAAGCATCCTGTCCTATTATCCTGCTTTATTTATAGTGTGTGGGAGAATGGTGTGGAGATAATGGAGCTGCTGCTGCTGCTTTTAAGTAGACTTGTCATTTAATCCCGAAATCCTGATTGATTTTACAGGATCTATTACAGCTGCAATTAAACAGTAGGTGGTTTTGCTGATTTAGTTCTCTGACTATAGTAATTTAATTCCTAGAAAATAATCTAAATCATCTCTTCAGACCTCGTAAAATAGATATTTGAGTCTCATTATACGTTTCTGAAGGTGAGAAGCATCAACCTGACTCTGTTTCCACTGAAGACAATGTGGAGTGTCACTGACTTCAGGAAGAAAAGGGTGTAGCCAGCCCAGCCCCAATGCCTGCAGAATTCCTCTTGAATTTGACATTTAAAGTGAGGATCTGAGATGCTTGTACTTAATACACACAGAGGAAGTGACAGAGCACAGGCTTATTCCTAAAATAACTGCAGGTCTGAATGCTGCTAAACACCACAACCTGAACTTCCCACTTGGAGCCACCTCACATTCAGCAGCAGCACCCCCACAGTTGGGATCTTTAATAAATAAACTCTTATAGTGTGTGTTTTCTCCTTTAAGGAAGGCAGATGCAGACAGTTTCAGCGTGGAATGGTTTAGATTCTTCCCCTTCCATCCTCAAGAAAAGTGTTTCCTGTCAAAAGCAAGCTTTTGAGTGCCAGGAGAAAGAACTTACTGCTTACTGTACATGGGATTTAGGAGCACAGTCTTACAGCTAAGAAAATTGCACATTCCAGCATTTTTATCTCACATAAACAAACACATGAAGGTCATCTTGTTGAAAGGTTTGAAGTTATTTAAAAAGCAGCAGTTGTGTGCCATGGGGAGCGTTACTTACTGTTTGAATAAAAGTGTTTAAAGACAAGATTAGATAATAAATCTTTATGCTTTTTCTTTGGCTTCTCTTGTTTCTTCTTGAGGAGTAACATTTTGGTGTGTGTTTTTATCGTCAGCTCAGCTGATTGGAAACGTCCACTGATCACTCTCTTTTGCAGGCAGCATCCTTGACACCTGCAGAAAGAAGCATAAAAACCTCAGCCAAGGCAAATTCTCACAGCCCCAGCAAAGAAAACACCCCACACACGAGGCAGAAAATGTCTCCTTCAGAACTGTTCCTTCAGCAAAAGGACAAACTGAAGAGGGATTCACACCAATCATGTTCCCATTTATAACACCCTCTAATTGCATGGAGTCCTCCTATGACATCCAGGCTGCCTTGGAAAACGCAAACACATGGCAAGCTTTGTTTTTCTTTAACATTGTTGTTACCAGTTTGCACTGCCAGGGGTCCCTGAGCTGAAAGAATCCAAACCCATACATTGTGTAGCTACTGTTATTTAATAACCCCATTGAAGTATCACATTTTTTAACAGTTTCCAGGAGATTCCTCGTGTCATTCTTACAGGCACAGTATTTCAGACGCCTGGAAAAAACCAGGCATGGTCAGAAAGCCAGATGCAGTTACCACATCCCCATAATAAACCAAGTTACAAAAATCTCAGTTCACTTCTTTTTAAAGGGAACGACCCATTTTTGAGCCTCCAAGGGCAGAAAGGGAGAATAAATAACTTAAGCCAGTGAAGGGAAGGAGTGAGATGGCACAAGGAGGGTAGAGCTGTCCTTCCATCCTTTCCTAAGGCTGCTCTGCTAAAAGGTGTGCACAGTGGGATCGGGATAAATAAATACCTCATTTTTGCATTTTCTCCACTGTGAACAGTGTAGGGGTAACAACACACCTCGGACAACCAAACGTGTTTCCAAACTTGCTGAGGGAGCACCGGGGCACAGAAAGCTCCGCGTGTATCATCTCTGATGTACAAAAACAAACCCCAAAGGATTGTTTTTAATATATACACCTAAAAGTTATTGCCCAACAAAAGCAGATTTTAGCTTCTGAGAAAGCAGATTAAAAATAGAAGGTTTAGGGGAAAAAAAAAAAAAAAAAAAAAAAAAAAGTCTTCTTGACTTCAGCTAAAATGCCATCAAGTGGCTCAGAACAACCAGCACTGCCACCAACCAGTGCCTTTTTTATTATCTGCAAGTAATCAAAACTTCTGACATTCTAAAAGAAAACTGTAAATAGTTATTCTTATACACTGAGCATATTTTGAAAAATCAGCTTATGACCTTACTGTGGTGTGGGCATTTTTAAACACAAATACAACTTGGGGCATAAAAATTCAATGAGACTCTGGAAGGGTTTTATTATTACTTTGCAAGGAATGTTTAAATCTTGTTAACACTTCCATTTTATTTTGTTTTCCTTCTAGTGAAAAAAAGGCATTTTCCTTCATCACTAGAAAACATAGACTGGAGCTTAACCTCCCACACAGGGCTTTAAAAGAAGGCAATATTTATATGTTCCACACTTCAAAAATGGCACATAACCAGGAATATTACAGAGGAGTAAAATCTGACACCTTGTTTCAGTTTTGGCTGCGTATTCAACAGGAAATGTTCCCAGAGAGATTTCAAATTCCCTGCACTTTAATTAGACCATCATTTCTCACTGAGAAATGGCTGGCGAGTCAAAGTCAATACTAGGAGCTCTCAAAACAAGCAATTTTATTAATTAAAAGCCTTCCCGAGGATATTAAGTTCTATTTTGCCATCCTCACCAAAAAAAGCATCAGAGCCATTTTGCAAAAGTGGTTTTGGAAACCTATTTCTGAGCAGCTAAAGGAAAAATGAAGTGGTTAAACTTGGAAATAACAGCCATCACTTGTACCTGAGTCTCAGTGAGAACTCGAGTTGTGACAATACACCCAAGGGCCACTCAGCTTTTCCATCTCTATTGCACAGTCTCAGGGAAAAACAAACAAACAAACAAACAAAAAGTGATGGTTTCAAAAAAAGGACTCCTAATTCCAATTGTTTTCTTTTAAAAACATAGCTAATAATTGTTACCAAAAATAACATGTAAGGCGGTTTTCTGACTCCACAGAAGTGAAATGGCACCATCTAGTGACTCACACAAGAGAAAGCCAAGTCAGGGAAGTTGTCACTTCTTTTACTTCCTCCCAACACTCTATAGTGAAGTTTGGAAACAACAGCAGAAGGAAATGTAAAAATAATCGTGAATGCTGGAACACTTCCGATGGAACAAGGGCTTGAAAGTCAAGTATTTACTCGGGGATTATTTTTGTACCAAAAGTATTTACCTATTGTCTTCTCGAAATATTTTTGGAGGCACATACAGTACAAATGTAATAGTCACATTTTACCTATCCAAATGTCTTCCCAGGAAAGCCAAATAATTTTTAAGCAGTGGCAACAGTGGCTTGCTAAGGAGTTCATGATAACACACACAGCTGTCAAAAATTACAAAAATTACAAAAAAAACCCGAGTCACTCTGGATGCACCTCGTTCCTCATTGATAAAATCAAGTTAGGGAGCATCCCCTTCAATTAATAATCACACATCATATTTGCACAGGCACCATGATCCTGTAAGTTCACTTTTCCAGCAAACTGTCTGAAATCTGCCTGCACAGACCGTTTCTAAGCTGTTTTTACAGCACTAAACAGCTGCTTCTGTACAGATTGCATGTTACATGAGAATCCTCTAGGAATTCATCCACTAGAAAAATACAGACCAAAGCTAAACTGTTCGCTACGTTTTGGATTTTTCTCCTCTGTGATTTTCTTAAGGGAATATATTGAAAAAAACCCCTTAGTAATCCTCCTCTCGACACCGAGTCATGTGCCCTCTGCAGGACTGCCGAGGAGGGCTTTTCCTTTCGGGATTGCTACACAAAAAAGGGAAAGAGCAAAGGAAGTTGTGCAGATGTTTTTCACCAGTTTCCCCTGTCGCTCTTTGCTTTCTGCGTGCATTTAATAAATACAAAGTCTCTAGGAAACCCCCACCACACTGCACTGCTGCTGCAAACCTTCAGCATGACAAGGGGAAAACCTCATCAGGAAAATCCCAGAGGAGCCAGCTGCCAGCAGCTCCTACAGGCATGGACCATATTCCAAGAACATACGGATAAAATCCTTTCTGGATATTTCTAGGACAGGCACCAGCCCAAAGGGTTTCATCCCCTAACTTGGACAAATGCAGCTGGCCCAGATCAAATGATTTCTCTATTTCTACGAATGACTTCACCACACA